GGAATCTGAATTGAAAACAACGTTTACAAGCAAACGCATTTACAAAAAATGATGCCCATAACGGGTTCGAATATTAAAGGCTGCCTAATATTCATTCGAATATCATTATTTTTTTTAAAATATTCGAATTATATTCGAATAACGAAGTTCGGAGTCAAAGCCCTAATGTGACCAAGTTTATATAGAACCGTTTTAACAAATCAGGCCCATTGAAATATTAACTTAAGATCTTGTGGGGGCTTCAAGTAAATACCTTGTCAAAAGGGGTCTTGTGCCAAAAAGGTTTTGTTAATCTCTGCCGTGGTCGACTGTCACTCGAGCAGCTCTTTTTCTCTCTCTAGAAAACATTCTTCATCTGCTCTTTATTAGCTCAGCGTAATTTATGGTGAAAGACAGAAGAAATTTTTTTTCTTTAAGAAAAAAAGTGTTCAGACTATCCACCTTATTTTGCAACTCGGAAGTAAAAGCGAATGCTGAACGCAACGTGCACCATTTCATCAGATTTCTAACAATGCTCTTTACACCAACGCAGGAGATATGTTTCTAAATATGCGATCTGTTAATTTATCGCGATTTCAAAATAAAAGTTTAAACCCTCGCTCTGAGTGTACATGTTTTTCTGTCCACTTGCAAATTTCTTGGTCAAGAAATTACAGTGGTTATAGCATTTCTATCATTAAGAAGTGGCCAAATATTAAAGGGATGAAAAATTGGTAACACTTTATTTTACAGTGTCCTTGTTACATGTACTTACCATAGTAGTAATAACAGTAAGTTATGCATAATTACATGCAACTAACCTTCAACCAAATCCAAATCCTAACCCTTTAGTAAGTACATGTAGTTGCTTAGTATTACTCAGTACTTAAATATAGAATTGCACTGTTATAATGACCCCTTAAAATAGTGTAACCGAAAAATCTTACATGAAAAATATGGTGGATAGAAACCAGTGACATAAACTTTCAATTTCCCTCCTTTTCCAGAGGTCAGGTTTTGTCTCAGTGATGGTCTAGTCTGAGCTCTCGGTTCTCAGTCCTGTGAATCGCTGTTATTTCTCCCTCGTGAGTTTGTGTGTTTATGTTTGAAAGATCAGCGAGAGACTCGTTTAACGGCACTGCAGCTGTTCTCACTCGGATTCTGCATTCGTTGCAGTGAGGGTTTGTGGGAAACGCGTTTAAACGAAGAGCCAATCAGAGCTGCAGACAAAGAGTTCATTTGAGAGTGTTTCCACTGATCCGTCCCCTTCCAGAACAGCAGGCCAGTGTGTTTCGTTGACTTGACATGTGGAGGTTTTGGTTTTATACTTGTATCTCTTTGGTGTTTTTGGGGCTTGTAGTTTTCTGATGGGTTGTTGTTTATGCATTTGAACTCGTTAACTCATTTATGTTTTACTCAGCCAGAGGAATGTGTCATTGCTCAGAAGTATCAAATTAGTATCAATCTTTTTAAATGTATTGTGTAATTTATTATAAAACTCTTTAGGGTTCCTGCAAATAATACTTATTTAATTTAATTTATATATTTATTTATTTTTTATTATTGGTTTAATATTTATATTTAATATTAATTTTAAAGTGATGGTTCTTTTTAAAATTCCATAGCAATACAAATATATACAAGCAAATGTATCTTAAATATATACATGCATATATGTGTATTTATATATACAAATGAATTATACACAGTACACACACATATATTATGTAAACACAAACTTTATTTTGGATGCGCTTAATCGCGACTAATTGTTGTCCAGCATTAATATATCTGTGGTAGATGTAAACATCTGTGACAATGGTAACAATTTTAAAAATAAAAAAGTAAAAAGGGTAAAATATTTACTGATATGGAATTTATTAAACTCTTAACTCTTTTTATTGTGCATTTCCTGATGTGCTATTTAAAAAACAAAACAAAACAAAAAACATTTAAGTTATGTGTAAAATTAAGGTGTGAATAAAATGTACAAAAAATGTCAAATTAAAAATAAATAAGTAAATTAATTAATAAAGTATTTACAATATTTATTGAAATGGAATTCATTAGACTCTTAAAGTTGACTTTTAAGAGTTTTATTTTAATTTCAGATCAATTTTAATTTCAGCTATTTAAAAAAATACATTAGGGCTGTCAAAATTGCTCAAAAATGACGTTCGAATATTCCCTCTAAAAAAAACACATATATTCGAACTATTCGAATATCTGGTTGCGCATTTTGTCAATGACGCGCATTACGTCAATAACAGGACAAATTAATACAAAGAGACACAACTACTTGTATAGGTAGTTTATTTAAGTTTAAACATATTTGACAACGTATTAACTTACACAAAATTAGGGATGGCCCGATACCGATACTGGCATCGGGGATCGGGCCGATACTGTCCTAATATACTCGTACTCGTACTCATAAAAATTCGCCGATACCACGTACATTTTGCAAAACGAAACTGGCCGCCGCGAGTGCTTTGTCGAGGTGAAATGAGGCATAGGAAAGTATAATGTCGGCGGTTTGGGCTCATTTCAAGATAAGGGATGATGACAACAGCAAGGCAGAATGTGAGTTATGTTCAGCTAAGGTGTCGAGAGGAGGGAAAGAAAGTACATCGTTTAACACCACATCTGAAGACACACAGATCTGATGGCCGAGCGCGCGCGCGGGCGGTAATGCACTCACTCTGTGTGTGCGGGTTACGGGAGAATAAAACGATTCGCGGGACTCCCGCAAACTAGAAATATCTATGAATAAAACATAAAAACTAAAAGATTTTTATTCATCTCTTGCAGAAAAGCAACAAGAACAACTACAACAAAATAGAAACGATTTACAGGCCAGAGTTTCTATTCATAACATGGTTACAGCGTTGAGCGATGTAGCCAATCACAGACATATGTGTTGATTTCTTGAACGCAATGGCCAATCAGAAGCATTTATGAATAGACTCCCCTCACTGCTCAAAACGGACTTTTTTGTTCAGTGCTGAATTCTGTATGCTGGCAAATCCTCTAATTATAACAAACAAAGTGTGGATATTATGAAAGATTGATTGTGCAGTCAGCTTCTTTGATAATAACAGAGATGTGTGAGATCGCGATGAACTGTCAGCTTTTACGATTTATTAAGGGAGCGCACTTTGCGCGCATTCAGTCATGCCAGACCATGCACGCAGTAGCCTGCTTGCTTTTATGTTAAATTAACAGTGGTTTGTGTGTTAATACATTTATTATTTTACTAATTTTTATTTATTTTTAGACTTGTTAAAACAAGCAGAGAAGAAAATAAAAACAGTCTTCTAACCTGTTTTAAAATAGTCGTCTTCTCTTCTGGGAGCCTATTACTTTTGCGGTAGAAATATCGGTATCGGTACTCGGTATCGGCAAGTACACAAATGTAAATACTCGTACTCTTATCGGTTTGAAAAAAAATGGTATCGGGCCATCCCTACACAAAACCAAGTAAATCAACTAATGGCCAAGACCGCAGACCTTACTCTCGCTCGCACTCGCAGGCACTCTCTCTCTCTCTCTCTCTCTCTCTCTCTCTCTCGCCCTCACGCTCTCTGCGCATAACGGTTTAAATGAACAACAATAAACAAATGTTGAGTGCTGATCAAGAGTTTTGTGCAAGCAATGTAAGGTCGCGACTCTTGTCCTAAATATAGCAGGCTTCATTCGGTGATTGAAACGAATATTATTAACATTAATTGAAGTTTTACAGTATATAGAACCGACTTTGAACGCTCCGAGCGAGCTGTGCTGTGGTAAACTCATGGGTAAACTGCTGCTAGCCTGCTACTATGGCTATTTCGAGGGCGTCTGGCCACGCCCCCTTGGCGGGCTCTGACGTGTCTGATGTAATGCTAGCTCATTGGCGCACACGTTGGAGGCGCCCGTGCCATTGGATGCGCAGTTGCCGCAGCACAGCCAATGAGTGAGCCAGACACTCACTGTGCTATCTGTCTGTGCAGCTGGAAAATGCATTTTACATTTTAAGCTTCAGAATTTTGCCACTCGCAAAGCAGACAGCCGCGCCTCTGCTACCGCGCTTGTTTTTCCACATGATTCGAATATTAATTTTCACCTTCGAATTTCTGTTTTTTAAAACTATTCGAATATATATTCGAATTTAGAATATTCGTTGACAGCCCTAAAATACATTAAACTTTTGTGTAAAATTAAAGTGTAAAATGTACAATTTAAAAATAAATAAATAATAAAAAGTACCATATTTATTGATATGCAATTTATTAAACTCTTAGTTGTTTTTATTGTGCATTTCCTGATGTGCTATTTAAAAAACAAAACAAAAAAAACATTTAAGTTGTGTAAAATTAAAGTGTAAATAAAATGTACAAAAAAATGTAAAATTAAAAATAAATAAGTAAATTAATTAATAAAGTATTTACAATATTGATTGAAATGGAATTCATTAGACTCTTAAAGTTGACTTTTAAGAGTTTTATTTTAATTTCAGATCAATTTTAATTTCAACTATTTAAAAAAATACATTAAACTTTTGTGTAAAATTAAAGTGTAAAATGTACAATTTAAAAAGAAATAAATAATAAAAAGTACCATATTTATTAATATGCAATATTAAACTCTTAGTTGTTTTTATTGTGAATTTCCTGATGTGCCCGTTAGTTTTAATATAACATATTTTTATATTTTTTTAATTACATTAAAGTTTTGCGTAAAATTAAAGTGTAAAATGTACAAAAAATTACATTTAAATGTAAAAAAAAAAAAAAGTACAATACTTATATTTATATTAGTTTCCCAATGTGCCCATTAGTGGTCATCTCTCAGCAGCTGTATTGCATTTGACACACTGATCACGGGGAGATTTTACAGCTGAACCACAGGACAGCAGCTGTCATGGGTCATTATTTGTTTACAAAAATGCCATTGTGAAAGTTTGCATGTCAGATGTCCAAGTACCTCTCATGGTTTATTATCAAGACTTAGAGGTTTAACCAGCAATCTGTTCTCAACAGGTGGTGCAGCAGCGTCGGGAAGCCGTCGCAAGTGGAGTTTCAGACGGTCAGAGCCGCTTAACCAGCTCGAAGCTGCCAGAACGTCATGTGACTCTGAACAAGGACATCCAAAAACTCCCATTAGCTCGTCTACTGATGAGAACACTCAAAAGAGCGTTTCTAAATGCCTCAGCGAGAAATGGCATAAGGATGCTTTCGAGGGGGACAACTCTTCGGATTCTTCCCAAACTCACCGTTTGCGTGACACAGAGGAAAGATCTCGAACGCAATCATGCGACATTTTCAATTCCAGCTTCAGTTTCATTCAGCAGTCATTAGAAACTAGTGATTTTTTAGATGCGAGCACAAACAAACAATCTGAATCGACATCACTGGACAAACTGAAGTCTGAAACGTCAAACTCAGGTGTTTTAAAACCTCACGCTCACTTCAGCCAATCAGAGATCAGCTCTGTGCCAATTAGCCAATCAGGACCTGAGGTTTTCGCATTAAGACATTTGGCTGGTTCGATTGGTCAGTCAGTTCAACACAAAGGGCTGTTATTGGACCGAGATCTGTGGCTAGCAGACCTGGACATGCAGGCCTCGTCTTCCACGACGTCTTATGCTAAAGAAAACATCCAGGACTCCGACTCTGGCTCTCTGGACACTGAAGTCACGTCTTCGCTCTCCATTGACTCGTCAGACTCGACCTCGGCCTCGTCGGTCACCTCTGGATACGAGAGCACCACCGCGTCCTCAGAACGGAGTCGGGACGGCCTGAAAAAGAAGTACGAAGATGTTCTGCAAGACTGTCTGCAGAACAATCGCACAAACACCAAGGTATCAGTACGACACAACAATGGATAAGATCAAAGTACAAGGGTCTTTTATTGTCATTCCATACACATGTATTTAAATGAAGGAACAAGCGTGCGTAAGTACTAAGGTCCCGGTCAAAACACAAGAAAACAATAGAAACTAGAGTGTATGTCTAAGCAGCATCGTCAAAAAATAGCACAATAGCAATAAAAAACTAGAATAGACAATGCAAGAATAAAAACAGTGCAATAATTAGTAATAAATTAGGACATAAATAGTCAAATATTGTTACACATAAAATGTCAAGTCACATTTATAGCGCTTTTTACAATACAGATTGTATCAAAGCAGCTTCACAGTGATAACATGAAAATAATACAACAAAGTTTGTTTCTAGAAGAAAAAGAGAATGTCTAAGTAATACTGTTATTAAAAAAAGATATCTCCATAATGATATGTCTACATTTTACAGGAGGATTAATATTTAAGTGTTTGCTTAATCAATTATTGCTCATAACACTGCAAAAAAAAGGCTGTTTACTTGCTAAAAAAGTCTAAACTATAAATCAGACGACGCAAGGCATGTAGTGCAACAGTTTTTGATCATGCTGATCATTTAGAGGCTTTAATTTTTGTATATATAAAAATATGATAGTCATTTTTATTTTACTGTAAGTGACACTTGACTGTCTTCACTTACAATCTATACATTTTATTAATGTTTTACAATGTTTTCCCTCTTTAGATCGAGTCCATAATGATGAAGCTTCAGAGATTACAGCACAAAGCGGTTTTGGACGACGACTATGACACAGGTCAGACACTTTACATGCTCAGTGCTTGTTAGATTAATTATTATTATAATGAAAGTTTGTTTCTCTAGCTAATAGTATGTGTATATTTAGTAAGAATACTAAAACAGAATTGATTCTTATTCTAAAATAAGAAACAAAGGTTCTGTAAGCGATTTCTGTGAAATGCTGTTGTAAGTGGATCGGACAGAGCGCCACAACGAACTAGCTAATCAGCAGTAGGGGGCGTGTCCATTCATGACGGGGGAGACAGTGTGAGCCAATCAGAATTCATGATTGGTAGGATAGAGACTAAGTAGTAGAGAGTGTGTCCATTCATGATGGGGGAGGATAGAGAGTAAGCCAATCAGTAGTAGAGGGTGTGTCCACTCATGATGGGGGTGAAAACAGACTGAGCCAATCAGTGGTATGGGGCGTGTCCATTCATGATGTGGGAGAAGAAAGAGGGAGCCAATCAGGAGTAGGGGGCGTGTAGGGGGCGTGTCCATTCATGATGGGAGAGAAGACAGAGGGAGCCAATCAGCAGTAGGGGGCGTGTCCATTCATGATGGGAGAGAAGACAGAGGGAGCCAATCAGCAGTAGGGGGTGTGTCCATTCATGATGTGGGAGACGAAAGAGGGAGCCAATCAGCAGTAGGGGGTGTGTCCATTCATGATGTGGGAGACGAAAGAGGGAGCCAATCAGCAGTAGGGGGCGTGTCCATTCATGATGGGAGAGAAGACAGAGGGAGCCAATCAGCAGTAGGGGGCGTGTCCATTCATGATGGGAGAGAAGACAGAGGGAGCCAATCAGCAGTTGGGGGTGTGTCCATTCATGATGGGGGAGGGGCAGATGGAGCCAATCAGCAGTAAGGGGCGTGTCCATTCATGATGTGGGAGAAGAAAGAGGTAGCCAATCAGCAGTAGGGGGTGTGTCCATTCATGATGGGAGAGAAGACAGAGGGAGGCAATCAGTAGAGGGGGTGTCCATTCATGATGGGGGAGGGGCAGATGGAGCCAATCAGCAGTAAGGGGCGTGTCCATTCATGATGGGGGAGGGGCAGAGGGAGCCAATCAGCAGTAAGGGGCGTGTCCATTCATGATGGGAGAGAAGACAGAGGGAGCCAATCAGCAGTTAGGGGCGTGTCCATTCATGATGGGAGAGAAGACAGAGGGAGCCAATCAGCAGTTGGGAGCGTGTCCATTCATGATGGGGGAGGAGAGAGAGAGTGAACAAGAGGGAGATTTTTGATTTGAGATTCGCTGTAGAAAGAGATGTCTGAGAGAGACATTACAAAAGGGTAAAGGTCAGAGGAACATCACTGGAAAAGAAGGGTTATGATCAGGCAAGCGCTGAAAATGAAAAACAATACGTAAGATTGGTTTTGAGTGTGTGCTGCTGGTGACTAACAGCGAACTCTTGCTGCCTTGTACTAGACTAGAGGACTGTATGTTCATTTTTTGTTCTTCCTTGTCGTTCGTTTGTCGTCTTCGTGAAGCTTTATTTTGCTTTGCTTCTGCTATGATAAAGAGACATCAACTCTTGCATTGTGTGTTTGTGCATTTTTGGGGCAGAGCAATGAAGGCAGGGCTGTGTTTGTTTGAGTTGATTATAAATATTAACAGTGTTTCTTAGAAATCACTTACTGCACCTTTAATGCTCTATCAAAAGAAATTATTTAAAAAAAAAATTATCTAGCCATTGCTTCATATTTTAAAGGACGATCCTACTCCATACCGTATCTGTGAATTTAGCCCAGTTTTACTGTATGTCCAAAAGTCCACAGCTGATGACAGAAGACAAAAACACATTAATGTGGTGAGCACACACACCCAAACACTCCCGGCTGATTGTCCTAACTCAGCAATGGTGACCTCAAACCAGACCAAAAACATGAACTTGTGATTGCTCACTTGATAGCAAGAATATTTAGGCCTGTCACGATCGAGAATTTATTAATTGTCATACAAATAATAGCGATTTACGACTTAATTCTGTTTTGTTCATGTCTCTTACAGTGAAAGCCTTATATATATATTTTTTTTTTACTTATATGTTTTTTATGTACATAATATACAAATAAGTTTATAGTGAAAAAGGCCCTTATGATTGACTTTAATGCTGGACAAAATAAATATTTATCTATTTAATTATATTTATCAATATTTTGCAGTCTGATTAAACCCACAAGACTCCTCTATGAAGACCTTTTACTATCTTTTTGTACAGTATAACAGTGTTTATTACTGCATTTTATTTATTGAAGCGGTTATCTTAAATAATTGCGATTAGATCAAACAACCATGATCAGACTATTAATCAATAAATGCCACAGGCCTAAGATTTTTTTTGTTTTTGCTGTTGTTTTTTTGTAATGACACAGAGTTCGTCTTCTTCAGTGCTGCTGAACGTTTCTGTAGTTCCTGCATATTTTCAACTGTTTAAATCAGAAAAGTATTTTATATTGTGCACTGCATGGATGTCTATTTTTCTTCTGAGTAGGATCATATTTGAAATGTTTATCTTTGCATGTGTGCTGTTTCACATGCTATTTTTGATCCGTATTAGACAGCACTGTACAATATGCATTCTTTATAGTCCATAACTTTGAGAAAGTTCTGCAATTCATTGTCAAACCGCGCCATCTTCTGGTCATCATCAGCACAGTCATCATGCAGCACCAGTGTGCGTGTGCCATGACTTGTGTGGATTTATTTTAGTCTTAATTTCTGTATCCTATGCTTCATTAGTTACTGTACTTAAAAGAGTCCCTCTAGTCTTCGGTGTGTGATCTTGCAAAACTACTTCTATTTGATCAGATGATTGACCTACATTAGTCAGCTGGAAGCCTTTTCTGTATCTTTAGAGCCTGACAAACCTTGTGACTTACATAACAAACCCTGACTTTTCCCAGACCTGGTCTGATCCCTGATCTGTGTGTAAAGTGGGTCAGTTGTGTTTGTTTTGTGCTCTCTTCTACTGACACACACACACACACACACACACACACTTCCTGCTGAGTCTTAGTTGTAGATTAGGGGTTTACATGCTTGAATGGGGCTCTATTTTGTGGAAGATTATGTTGTAATCAATAATAGATTCATAAATCTGACAGCCCGATTTTAATTATGATATTTGGCTAGTTTTTGAGATTAAATAGTAAGTAAGTCAAATTTATTTATGTAGGATATTTAAACATGCCTAAGCTGACCAACGTGCTTTACAAAGTAAATTACATAACATAAAGCAACATAAAATTATACTCTAAAACGACAGGAAAATAGGAGTAACGTTAATAGAATGGAAAGTCATCTGGTCTTTAATAATGCTCTTAAAATGTAACACTTTAACATTATTTATACATTTTTAAGGGGGGGTTTGTACTTAAATTTTTTTTTTTTTTAAATGTTACTATTTGTTTCAGAATTTTCAGAGAACATTCAAAAGTAACATTCCAATAATGTCTGGAAAATGACAAAATGGAATGTTTCCTTAATGTTCACAAAACCAAACAAACAAACATTTAAAAAAAAAAACATTCTAAAAACTGGACATTCTAAACGTTCAGAGAACATTCCGAAATAACGTTTTTATAACTTATATGAACTCTAAGATACTCCTCTGTGTTTGTTATGAATAAGTTATTTTGACGCAAGATATTTTAGTATTTCTATAATGTTTTTGTATTGAGTTTGACCTAAATTGACCAGAAACGCGAGTACATTTTTGTTTGGCTTGTGCTTTACTCCATCAAAGAAAGATTGCTGAAAGTCTTGTTTGTTTGTGTTCAGCCGAGCGTTTTGGTAAGAAACTAGAGGACCTGCGGAGAGAGAGAGCGACACTGAAGCCCGGTCTCCCGTCCAGACACCCTGAGGTCACTGCATTTCTGGAGCGTCTCAGGACAGCGGTGCACAGCGCCATCCACAGGACAGACACACACTGCAGGTTTGGAAACATCAAAACACGTTATACCTTCATTCATCGAGAGGTTATCTGTTTTGAGAACTTTATAACTGTTCAAATGATTAGTAATGGTAAGATTTATTAATGTTTTTGAATGTCTCTTCTGCTCATCAATGCTGATCAAAAAAATTAATATTATTTCAAATTAAAATCACTGTTTTCTATTGTAATACATTTTTTAAAGTGTCATTTATTCCTGTGATCAAAGCTGAATTTTCAGCATCATTACTCCAGTCTTCAGTGTCACATGATCCTTCAGAAATCACTCTAATATGAGGATCTGATGCTCAAGAAACATTTCTGATTATTATTATTAATGTTGAAAACAGTTGTGCTGCTTCTTATTTTTGTGGAAACTGATGCATTTTATTTTTTCAGGATTCTTTGATGATTAGATTTATCTGAAGTAGATATCTTTTGTAACATTATAAATGTTTACTGTTTCTGTTGATCAATTTAATGCATCTTTGCTGAGTAAAAGTATTAATTCCATCAGATCTAAACATAGTATTTTCTATATATTTACACTCAAACATGAATGTAATCCATTCTTTACAGTTAAATTCTGATTTCTAATCTGACTAGATGTTGTGTATGCTTCACTATATAGTATTTGAAGGCTGGTTAGATGATCTCAGTTTCAGAAATAAGCCTTTTAAACAGGAAAGTAAACAGGTGTGGCGTCAGTGTCTGAACAGCACTTCCCGTTACGTATTGTTTCCATATGTTTATCTTTGTATAGTTTGGCGTCTGTAGCTCAGAGACACTGAATTATAATCAATGAGACACTGACTAGAAGTGACACAGATTCAGTGTTATTTTAGGATTATTTATACGCTATTATAGTAATTATTTATATTTTCAATTAGCTTTATTTTTATATTTACAGTTTTCATAATACAGTTTTATAATAAAGAATTATTTAGTATTAGTATTCATAATTGAATGTATATTAATTAAAATATATTATAATATATTTATATATTATTTAAATATATTATAATAAATGTATTATTTTGAAAAATAGTTTTATTTTTATATTTACAGTATTTTTCATTTTAGTTTACATGTTAGCAATTTTGTTGTGGTTTTGTCACTTTTATTAGTTTAAAAATATATATTTCTATATAACTTTAATTTATTTTAAATTCAGTTTGACTAATTTCAGTACTATTTATTTTATTTCAGTTAGTTGGCATTTTCTCATTTCTAATTATTTCTAATTTTGTTTTTTTAAAGTTTGTTTTTCATGTAATATTTCAATTTTATTTTATTTCAGCTTTATTTCAGTTACCATACATTATTTTAAATAGTTTTAGTTAACGATAACAAGACATTTCTAGTCATGTTTTGCCGTGAGTGATCATAAATGCATTTTTTCAAACAGGCCAAACGGTAAAGCGAGTGACGATCAGGGATCCGGCAGCTCTCAGATCCGACCTCAAACACGGGAGAAGCTGTTAGAGAAAAAACAGAGGATTCAGGTGAACACAAATACATGATCATCACTGATATATGATTATTAAGAGCATAACATATGCATATTAACTTATTGCTTGAATAAGAAGTTTGTATTGCTGTTTAACGTATTGCAAAATACTGGACTACAGTACATATGCTAATAAGCTTTTGTTGCTTGAATGTTTACTGTGCTTTTAGTCGGACTAAGTATCTAGGCTCAATGTTTTTTTTTTTCATGTTCAACTTTTTTTAGTGTGTAATGTTGAAAAAGGTTTCCTCCAGCGGGAGTTCTTCTCTATATCAGTGTCAGTGTTTCTGAACTCCTGAAACGCCTCCATTGTAGTCTTGAGTTTCTTCCGGGACGAACACGTCACAATATTCCTCATTTAAATAATTCATACGCAGAATAAAGGGGCGGGGCCTGGTTGAGTTAGTTATAGTGTGTTAAACTGGCGGTTATGGTAAGAGCGAGACATGTCCCAAACACACTCAAAGCGCTTGACCAATCACAACACACTGATCCAGCCGACCAATCAGAGCACAGTGTGGAGGGGCTTCATAGAGACAGGAACTAAACAGTGGAGTGTTTCTCGTACAACGACGTAACTCGCTGGTTCACTACCATAGTACGATGCATCGTTAAAGAAATCAACTAGCTAGTCACGACTGTTTTCCTGAAACTGTATTGCTTTTGGGAAACACACCCCAGAGCGTCACTGACAGACTGGGATGAGACGAGCTGCAACAATGGAGAATATGGGGAAAATAATGATCATTCAAGCATGAAAACCTAATCTAGTAGAGCACAAAGACAGGTTGTAAGTTTATATATGTGTTGTGTGTGTACAGAAGGAGATGTGTGAGCTTCAGCGGAGGCTGGAGGATCTGCAGGAGGAGAGCAGAGCTGTGGAGGAGGAGCTCGAGGAGCCCGTCCTGAGAGCCTGTGATCCGGCTCAGCTGCGACTGATGGCTCGAGCGCTGGAGGACGTGATCGCCTCTGAACATCGGCCACAGATCAGCCTGTCTCCACCAGCAGCGGTCATCAGGTGAGGGGAAGCGTTCCCACGGGTCCTTGAAATCCTTAGGATTGGAAATCTGAAAAAAAAAATATCAAGGCCCTGTAAAGTTTTGGAAAATAAACATGCATAGATACAGGTCATTGAAATTGCATGCCTTTATTTTGTGCAAGAAGTTTTCTGGAAAAAAATCCATATTTCCTCCGGTCCGCTAATGTGTTATTTCGCCAACACTTCGTGGCCTTTGCACACTAGCTTGCTTGATTTACCGTAGTTAGGTGCATTTACGCATTGTGTTTCCCACGTGAGGGACTTTGTGTTGTACGTTGCCGTTCATGCCTGCATAAAACTACTACGATGGTACCTGAACGTTTGTTGTTATACACAACAAATGTGTCCCCACATTAAGTTTTTGAATTTGAGGGTATTGGACCTGGAAAGTCCTTGAATTTGAGGGTATTGGACCTGGAAAGTCCTTGAATTTGGGGGTATTGGACCTGGAAAGTCCTTGAATTTGAGGGTATTGGACCTGGAAAGTTCTTGAATTTGAGGGTATTGGACCTGGAAAGTCCTTGAATTTGGGGGTATTGGACCTGGAAAGTCCTTGAATTTGGGGGTATTGGACCTGGAAAGTCCTTGAATTTGAGGGTATTGGACCTGGAAAGTCCTTGAATTTGGGGGTATTGGACCTGGAAAGTCCTTGAATTTGGGGGTATTGGACCTGGAAAGTCCTTGAATTTGGGGGTATTGGACCTGCAAAGTCCTTGAATTTGGGGGTATTGGACCTGGAAAGTCCTTGAATTTGAGGGTATTGGACCTGGAAAGTCCTTGAATTTGAGGGTATTGGACCTGGAAAGTCCTTGAATTTGAGGGTATTGGTCCTGGAAAGTCCTTGAATTTGAGGGTATTGGACCTGGAAAGTCCTTGAATTTGAGTGTATTGATCCTGGAAAGTTCTTGAATTTGAGAGTATTGGACCTGAAAAGTCCTTGAATTTGGGTGTATTGGACCTGGAAAGTCCTTGAATTTGGGCATATTGAACCTGGAAAGTCCTTGAATTTGGGGGTATTGGACCTGGAAAGTTCTTGAATTTGAGGGTATTGGACCTGGAAAGTTCTTGAATTTGGGGGTATTGGACCTGAAAAGTCCTTGAATTTGGGGGTATTGGACCTGGAAAGTTCTTGAATTTGGGGGTATTGGACCTGGAAAGTCCTTGAATTTGGGGGTATTGGTCCTGGAAAGTCCTTGAATTTGAGGTTATTGGACCTGGAAAGTCCTTGAATTTGAGTGTATTGATCCTGGAAAGTTCTTGAATTTGAGAGTATTGGACCTGAAAAGTCCTTGAATTTGGGGGTATTGGACCTGGAAAGTCCTTGAATTTGAGGGTATTGGACCTGGAAAGTCCTTGAATTTGAGGGTATTGGACCTGCAAAGTCCTTGAATTTGAGGGTATTGGACCTGGAAAGTTCTTGAATTTAAGGGTATTGGACCTGAAAAGTCCTTGAATTTGAGGGTATTGGACCTGGAAAGTCCTTGAATTTGGGGGTATTGGACCTGCAAAGTCCTTGAATTTGGGGGTATTGGACCTGGAAAGTCCTTGAATTTGGGGGTATTGGACCTGGAAAGTCCTTGAATTTGGGGGTATTGGACCTGGAAAGTCCTTGAATTTGGGGGTATTGGACCTGGAAAGTCCTTGAATTTGGGGGTATTGGACCTGCAAAGTCCTTGAATTTGGGGGTATTGGACCTGGAAAGTCCTTGAATTTGAGGGTATTGGACCTGGAAAGTCCTTGAATTTGAGGGTATTGGACCTGGAAAGTCCTTGAATTTGAGGGTATTGGTCCTGGAAAGTCCTTGAATTTGAGGGTATTGGACCTGGAAAGTCCTTGAATTTGAGGGTATTGGACCTGGAAAGTCCTTGAATTTGAGGGTATTGGACCTGGAAGGTCCTTGAATTTGAGGGTATTGGACCTGGAAAGTCCTTGAATTTGAGGGTATTGGACCTGGAAAGTCCTTGAATTTGAGAGTATTGGACCTGGAAAGTCCTTGAATTTGAGGGTATTGGACCTGGAAAGTCCTTGAATTTGGGGGTATTGGACCTGGAAAGTCCTTGAATTTGGGGGTATTGGACCTAGAAAGTCCTTGAATTTGAGGGTATTGGACCTGGAAAGTCCTTGAATTTGAGGGTATTGGACCTGGAAAGTCCTTGAATTTGAGGGTATTGGACCTGGAAAGTCCTTGAATTTGAGGGTATTGGACCTGGAAAGTCCTTGAATTTGAGGGTATTGGACCTGGAAAGTCCTTGAATTTGAGGGTATTGGACCTGGAAAGTCCTTGAATTTGAGGGTATTGGATCCGGAAAGTCTTTGAATCTTAGGGTATTGGACCTGGAAAGTCCTTGAAAGGTCCTTGAATTTGACGTTAACCAAGGTTTAGGAACCCTGGGACCTGCCAAATGTGTAAAAAGTGGATGACAAAAAAAAAATGATATCACTGAATAAGAGACAAACATATAGCAATTGTCTTTGATGAGGTTTATTTTCTTGCAAGAAAAGTTCAGCAGTCTTACAGTCACAGAGTGTGACAGAGATCCTTCCTCCTTTATAGTCTTGACTCCCAGTATGTTATCTTTCTAGGCCAATGATGGTATTTTCAACCATATGTGGAACATTTTTAGACTTGTTCTTCATATTGTATCCTTGAGTGGAGGCCCTCCTGACACGTACCAACACTCTTTACCTTTCCAATACAAATCCACAGAATAAGGTTTGTGTGTGCTCTTTTACTGTTATATGATGGTCACACACATCTTAAAGATACACTTTCTTCCACAAGGAACACATATTTACATGTAATGTGTCTGCATGAAACCCTCTTTTAGGAATTAGTTTATTTACTCGCACTTCAATTCAATTCAATTCAAATTTATTTGTATAGCGCTTTTCACAATACATATTGTTTCAAAGCAGCTTTACAGAAAGTGCATTTCAGAAATGTACATAGAAGAATATAGTTAGTTAATCATCATGTATTAAATTTCATGTATTCATGTATTTTCATGCATCATGTATTAAACTTGTATTAAAATGTATTAAACTTCTGGAAGTTGAGCATAACGTTCACTTACTGGAGTCTGGAGTCATTATGGGCTGAACATTTACACACTATCAAACCTGTCACGTCGCTGACGGATAACACCACAATTCATTTGAAGCCACCATGTTTGAAGAAGTGCAAATGTAAATGAGGTTTGCAAGCTACAGGGGAGTGATGATTTTCAGCAAATCATACAGGTTTAGAAAATAACTATAATAATAATAATAATTTATTTTATTAATATTGTTATTATTTTTAATAATAACAAAGCAATAATAACAGAAATAATAATAATTTCAATAATAAAACGTATTACTCTTGGTGTTATTGATAATAACAACAAAAATCATATTGATTATTATTATTATAGTGATTTAATTGATTGGTGATTATTTTTATTATTGATGATGATGATAGTAATATCACTAATAATCATCTATTATGATTTACAATTGATTTACTATTATTATTGATAATTGTATTTATTTAATATAATTTATTAAAATATATTGTAATATTTTAATAAATGTAATAATAATAACAATAATTATTTGCTATGATTTACTACTACGATTATTATTGTTATTATTATAGATAATAATTAGATTTATTTAAGATAATGTATTAAAATATATTATAACATGTTTAATATATTAAAAATGTAATTATGATTTATTATTGTTATTATGATGATTATTTATGATTTACCATTGATTTATGATTTACTATTATTATTAATATAATTAATTATAATTATAAGTGGAAGTTCGAGTACATAATCTGATACCTTTGTGATGCCATCAGTTTGTATTAATATTGAAATCTCTCTTCTTATTGACCTCTCTCAGTAACTTTTTGAATAATTTCTGTCCATCAGGTCAGGGCAGAAACGAAAGCTGATATTTTAAAGCAAATGAATGTGTACAATCCCGTCACAACATTAGATGTGGCGATCAGTTTTGACACTTGGAGATCGACGTGCTTCAGTTGAATCAGTGGGTTCAGTTTTTGGAGGAGTTTCAGGGAGACTTTCTGGTGAAAAAACAAAGAGCATCAAAACGTCTGCCTCTGAGCAGAGAAATATCGAACACTAGATTGCATGACTCTGTTTGGTCTCTCACAGATTGATTTTGATGGATATGTAGATTTATCGGAGGTACGGTGCAGATTGAGGTCATAACATTGAGCTGAGCTGAACAAACCCCGCTGAGAGATTGATTTATTTTCTCCTGCAGTGAGGCCCGATTTTGAGGAGAAGCAGCTGAGTCCACATGGACTCTTCAGTGCAATCCTCTCTCCCTACATCTCTCTTTTATTGTATTTTTACCTGTGCCTTCTCGAAATGAGACGCACTTTTCAGCATGGTTATGAATTTTTATTGCTTTCAGGCTTTATAGATCCTCGTGTGGTTTCTGTCCAAAACCTGTGCGTAATGTTTAAGAACAACCTCTCAAGGCTCCTGATGAGAAAAAGCTGACATTTTAGACCTTTTCTCAGTCTGAGATGTTACTGAAATCATATCCACTTATTAATCTAAAGAGGGATCTGTATAACCAGCAGGAGGCACTTTATGCATTTGTTTAATCACAGTATATAGTGCTTTATTTAAACAATTCACAACCTGTTAAACAATATGGCTTGCTTGTATTTTTTAGTGGTGTTGATAAATCAAGCACCAGTATTACTATTGGCATGATTTATTATGGTAAAATGTATGACTTTATTGTTCATATCTCATTATTTTCAGTATTACTGACATGGTTTATTTACCTTTCAGACTTCAGGAGCAGGAGCGAACACTGAGTTTGTCCATCAAAGAGGCAACGGCTAAAGTAAGTCCACATCTTAATCGCATATTAATCGAACCAGTCAACACTATATTTAATAAGTGTTATTGTCACATAATTATAGGTCATAAAGAACAGTCCTGTTAGTTGCATGAAATATTACAGATATTGTGTGCAATTTGTGTGAGATGATTCATTCACAACCTGAAAATGCACGAATGCTAGATTTTTGCACTTTTTAAAGCATAAACCTCATTACATTTAGATTATTTACTGTTTCTCACAATGCAATGCACTCGACTTCACCTTTCATTTCCAGTGAGATGAAAGAACAGTAAATTATCTCAGCCATTATTAAGTGACTCAATATTTGATTATATTGTCCATAATTTTTTTTATGCAAAATAAATAACCATTCTGATAACTGGACAAGCAATATATGAAGGCATCATATGCCTTCTATCATATGCCAATAATCATATGACAACAATGTAGCATAGTACAATGTAAAAACATTAATCATTGCATCATTTGTACTCCATTATACTACTTTTTTGCACCATATACTGTATTATCCGGCCTATAAGATGCATCAACTGTTGAGAGAAAATTGCATTAGTGAATAAGTCATATTTTATTATTACATATTCATAAATAATGTAAAATACCAGTAAATAAAACGAAATGTTTACAAGCATTATGAACTCTAGAAACATGCATTTTAGTTCCCCTCATTCCACAATCAATCCTTTAAATGTAATGGTTTTAGAACAGAACAGGAATGGAAAAAGTATAAAACAAACATAAATTATTAAGGCATTCATTGTAAACAACATTTTTTTTATAAACGGCAATCCTGTTTAAAGTGAAATACGGTATACAACTAAACTCTCATTCGGGACTAATACAAATGTGTGCACTTTTAATTGCATTATACAAGTCGCAGCATGTTTCAGGTGATTAAAAACTATGACTAATATTTTGGAAAGTATGGTACTGGTGTCAGTTCCTGTTGCAATTAATTGTGATGTGTGTGAGAGTTTGGTTAGTTAACTTGTGTCAGCTCTTCCACCACAATCTGAGACAAAATGAGCTGCTTTCCTCCTGTGAGCAGCATGGGAAATTGTCATTTAGCTCTCAGTGTGTGTGTGTGTGTGTGTGTGAGCTGGTGTCAGTGGGATTGGTGTGGCTGCAGTGTGAGCCTCGGGCTCAGAGAGTGTGTGTTGGCACCGCGGGTGGATCTGAGCTGCCCGTAAAATGGCACAGTGTGACTTTGCCCTCTGGTCTGCCATTATCTGATGCTCAGCTTCGGCACGTCTGGCTGCGTCTCACAACCACTCTCACATCGGGAGGTCCGTTGTGTCTCTACTGTGGCATCTGGTCCATCATTACAGACTTCCGGAATGTTCTGTAGCATTTTATTTTTTATTTTATTTTATTTTATTTTATTTATATATTTTTTTGTCGCTTAACAAAAAGTAAAATAAAATAAAATAAAAAATACAATAAATAAAATAAAGCAAATTATATACAATGTGCCATATTTGTAAAGAGTATTTAAATAAAATAAAATAAAACATAAATGAAAAGATAAATAAAATAAAAAATCCTACATACAACATAAATCTGTGCCACATACACTTTTTAAGAGAATATCTTAAATAAAATAAAATAACAAAGTAAAAAAAAAATACAACATACATTTGTGTCACGTATTTTTTATTTTATTTTATTAGATATTTTTTTAACAAAACATTTTATGTGGCACAAATGTTTTTTATTTTATTACCGAAAAGTAATGTGTAAAGAAAATGCAATAAATAATTAAATAAAAATCTTAAATACAATTAAAAAAAAATGGCAGAAATGTATGTATTGTATTTAAGATTTTTATCTAATTTATTTATTGTATTTTCTTTACACATTACTTTTCGGTAATAAAATAAAAAACATTTGTGCCACATAAAATGTTTTGTTAAAAGAATATCTAATAAAATAAAATAAAAAATACGTGACACAAATGTATGTTGTATTTTATTTGATTTAAGATCCTCTAAAAAAAATGGCAGAAATGTATGTAGAGTATCTTAAATCAAATAAAATACAACATACATTTGTCTCACATATTTTTTTTTTTTATTTTATAAGATTTTATTAACAAAACATTTGGCACAAATGAATGTTATGTTATTATTTATTTTAACCTTTTTTTTTCTCTTAACAAATAAACTTTATACGGAACAAATTGTATATTGTATTTTAGATTTTTATTTTATTTTATGCAAGACATTCTCCTAAAAAAGTTTATGTGGCCTTTATCAAATTTTATTTAGGTTGAAATTAAGATTAACAAAGATTAATAAATGCTGTATAAGTGCAGTTCATTATTAGTTCATGCTAACTAATGTTAGCTAAAGAACCTTATTGTAAAGTGTTAGCGTTATTTATAACTTTTCTTGACTGCTCTTGTCCTCCAGGTGTGTAATAACTCCTGTTCTTCTTGGTTCAGGTGGTGATGGGTCAGAGGTTGTCGGGTCGTCTGCGGCGTAAGGTCAGCGAGAGTGAAGCGCAGCTGCTGGTCCTGCATGAGGCGAAGCTCTCCGCCATCTCAGGTACAGTCTCTGTTCACTCCTGTCCTGACTGAAGTCACGGTCACTGTGACTGTGCTCCTTAACTCTAGACCGTTCGGGACGACAGCCTGTCCTGACTGAACTCATGGTCACTGTGACTGTCCTCCACATCTCTAGACCGTACGGGACAACAGCCTGTCCTGACTGAACTCACGGTCACTGTGACTGTGCTCCTCAACTCTAGACCCTACGGGACGACAGCCTGTCCTGACTGAACTCATGGTCACTGTGACTGTGCTCCTCAACTCTAGACCGTACGGGACGACAGCCTGTCCTGACTGAAGTCACGGTCACTGTGACTGTGCTCCTTAACTCTAGACCGTTCGGGACGACAGCCTCTCCTGACTGAACCCATGGTCACTGTGACTGTGCTCCACATCTCTAGACCGTACGGGACGACAGCCTGTCCTGACTGAACTCACGGTCACTGTGAGTGTCCTCCACATCTCTAGACCGTACAGGACGACAGCCTGTCCTGACTGAACTCACGGTCACTGTGACTGTGCTCCTCAACTCTAGACCGTACGGGACGACAGCCTGTCCTGACTGAACTCATGGTCACTGTGACTGTGCTCCTCAACTCTAGACCGTACGGGACGACAGCCTGTCCTGACTGAACTCACGGTCACTGTGACTGTGCTCCTCAACTCTAGACCGTACGGGACGACAGCCTGTCCTGACTGAAGTCACGGTCACTGTGACTGTGCTCCTTAACTCTAGACCGTTCGGGACGACAGCCTGTCCTGACTGAACTCATGGTCACTGTGACTGTGCTCCTCAACTCTAGACCGTTCGGGACGACAGCCTGTCCTGACTGAACTCATGGTCACTGTGACTGTGCTCCTCAACTCTAGACCGTACGGGACGACAGCCTGTCCTGACTGAAGTCACGGTCACTGTGACTGTGCTCTTCAACTCTAGACCGTTCGGGACGACAGCCTGTCCTGACTAGGGTTGGGTATCGGTTGGGTTTTATCCGATACCAGTACCTACTCGGTATTTTTTAAACGGTTCCGGTGCCTAAACGGTTCTTGAAACGGTACTTAAGAAAACGAAACCGCACACACTTTATCAAAAAATAATACCCTTTTATTTACAGGGCCAAACTGGACACAATATTAACTTTAAATCTTTAAACAATATAAATACAAATAATAATATAACCAATATAAAATAAAAATTCACATTTACATAATATCAAATAAAACAATATTGTATCAAACAATGTAATAATACTGGAGATTAATAGAGATTACTAGCAGGCAGAGCTGCCAACTCTCACGCATTGACCGTGACTCGTGAGACTCACGCAATTGACCCTTTTCACACGCCCTCACGCACGCCACACATCCATTTTCTCACGCAGAGAAAAATTGCGGACAAAGAGGACACTGACACCGACAGACAAGGTTACTTTTGATATGGAACAAATCCACAGCTGTCAGATTCTGTCAATATTTTTACGAGATTCACACAATAAATAACGTTTTGGCTCTTTAAAATGTGACAGATCGCTGTAGTGCGTCAGTTCAAGCGGCACGTGATACAGCAGCCTACAAATACAAATCCACTGCTTCTTAGCTACGCAGCGTTGAGTGAACCTATGAAAGAGAACATCTCTGGTTACTGGTGTAACCTATGTTCTCTCAATAGAGAACGAGACGCTGCCAAGCTCCTCGCGCTGCCGACCAGCTTCCTTTTTCGGCAAAGAAATCTGAGGAGCAGATGGAGCGCGCGCGCCAACATAATATGACAACGTAAGTGCGTCGAGGCGGCGCCCGCGCCATCAGCCAATAAATTGGCTTGATTCTATATGGATTAAGCCTATCGGCACACCCAGAGGGCGTTCTGACGCGTAATTTTACACGAGAAATGCAGCCAAACCTTGCGAGCAAGAGCGCGCGTGCGAGACAGAAGAGACTGTGCGTGTGTGTGTGTGTGCGTGTGTGCCTAATTAAGTCAGGCACCGAAATCAGGCACCGAAATTGTCGTTCTTATTCGGTCTGGTTACTACCGTTTACGTCGGAACCGGTTCCCTATTGGCACCGAGTTTCGGTACCCAACCCTAGTCCTGACTGAACTCACGGTCACTGTGACTGTGCTCCTTAACTCTAGACCGTTCGGGACGACAGCCTGTCCTGACTGAACTCACGGTCACTGTGACTGTGCTCCTCAACTCTAGACCGTTCGGGACGACAGCCTGTCCTGACTGAACTCACGGTCACTGTGACTGTGCTCCTCAACTCTAGACCGTACGGGACGACAGCCTGTCCTGACTGAACTCACGGTCACTGTGACTGTGCTCCTCAACTCTAGACCGTACGGGACGACAGCCTGTCCTGACTGAAGTCACGGTCACTGTGACTGTGCTCCTTAACTCTAGACCGTTCGGGACGACAGCCTGTCCTGACTGAACTCATGGTCACTGTGACTGTGCTCCTTAACTCTAGACCGTACGGGACGACAGCCTGTCCTGACTGAAGTCACGGTCACTGTGACTGTGCTCCTTAACTCTAAACCGTACGGGACGACAGCCTGTCCTGACTGAACTCACGGTCACTGTGACTGTGCTCCTCAACTCTAGACCGTTCGGGACGACAGCCTGTCCTGACTGAACTCACGGTCACTGTGACTGTGCTCCTCAACTCTAGACCGTACGGGACGACAGCCTGTCCTGACTGAACTCACGGTCACTGTGACTGTGCTCCTCAACTCTAGACCGTACGGGACGACAGCCTGTCCTGACTGAACTCAAGGTCACTGTGACTGTGCTCCACATCTCTAGACCGTACGGGACGACAGCCTGTCCTGACTGAACTCACGGTCACTGTGACTGTGCTCCACATCTCTAGACCGTACGGGACGACAGCCTGTCCTGACTGAACTCAAGGTCACTGTGACTGTGCTCCTCAACTCTAGACCGTACAGGACGACAGCCTGTCCTGACTGAACTCAAGGTCACTGTGACTGTGCTCCACATCTCTAGACCGTACGGGACGACAGCCTGTCCTGACTGAACTCAAGGTCACTGTGACTGTGCTCCTCAACTCTAGACCGTACAGGACGACAGCCTGTCCTGACTGAACTCATGGTCACTGTGACTGTGCTCCTCAACTCTAGACCGTACGGGACGACAGCCTGTCCTGACTGAACTCATGGTCACTGTGACTGTGCTCCTCAACTCTAGTCCGTACGGGACGACAGCCTGTCCTGACTGAACTCATGGTCACTGTGACTGTGCTCCTCAACTCTAGACCGTACGGGACGACAGCCTGTCCTGACTGAACTCACGGTCACTGTGACTGTGCTACACATCTCTAGACCGTACGGGACGACAGCCTGTCCTGACTGAACTCACGGTCACTGTGACTGTGCTCCTTAACTCTAGACCGTACGGGACGACAGCCTGTCCTGACTGAACTCACGGTCACTGTGACTGTGCTCCTCAACTCTAGACCGTACGGGACGACAGCCTGTCCTGACTGAACTCACGGTCACTGTGACTGTGCTCCTTAACTCTAGACCGTACGGGACGACAGCCTGTCCTGACTGAACTCACGGTCACTGTGACTGTGCTCCTCAACTCTAGACCGTACGGGACGACAGCCTGTCCTGACTGAACTCATGGTCACTGTGACTGTGCTCCTCAACTCTATACCGTACGGGACGACAGCCTGTCCTGACTGAACTCACGGTCACTGTGACTGTGCTCCTCAACTCTATACCGTACGGGACGACAGCCTGTCCTGACTGAACTCACGGTCACTGTGACTGTGCTCCTCAACTCTAGACCGTACGGGACGACAGCCTGTCCTGACTGAACTCATGGTCACTGTGACTGTGCTCCTCAACTCTATACCGTACGGGACGACAGCCTGTCCTGACTGAACTCACGGTCACTGTGACTGTGCTCCTCAACTCTAGACCGTACGGGACGACAGCCTGTCCTGACTGAACTCATGGTCACTGTGACTGTGCTCCTCAACTCTAGACCGTACGGGACGACAGCCTGTCCTGACTGAACTCATGGTCACTGTGACTGTGCTCCTCAACTCTAGACCGTACGGGACGACAGCCTGTCCTGACTGAACTCACGGTCACTGTGACTGTGCTCCTCAACTCTAGACCGTACGGGACGACAGCCTGTCCTGACTGAAGTCATGGTCACTGTGACTGTGCTCCTCAACTCTAGACCGTACGGGACGACAGCCTGTCCTGACTGAACTCATGGTCACTGTGACTGTGCTCCTCAACTCTAGACCGTACGGGACGACAGCCTGTCCTGACTGAACTCATGGTCACTGTGACTGTGCTCCTCAACTCTAGACCGTACGGGACGACAGCCTGTCCTGACTGAACTCACGGTCACTGTGACTGTGCTCCTCAACTCTAGACCGTACGGGACGACAGCCTGTCCTGACTGAACTCATGGTCACTCATGGTCACTCATGGTCACACATGGTCACTCATCTATCTATCTATCTATCTATCTATCTATCTATCTATCTATCTATCTATCTATCTATCTATCTATCTATCTATCTATCTATCTATCTGTCGTTCCGTCCTTCCATCCATCCATCATGCCAAAGTTGCCTATAGATATCATTATTACTTTCTGGTGGCTTTCTGAACTTTTTCAACTATTATGATGTACATTTCGATGCATCTGTGTCTTGTCCTCGCTGCAGGAAATGACTTCAGCAGTGCGAAACAACTGAAGGCAGAAATCAGGAGTGTGTACGGAGAGAGGGATCGTCTGGAGGGGCTGGTGAAGAAACTGCAGGCGCTGAGCACTGGACTCGATCTGACCTGCATGAAGGAGCAACACAACCACATCAAACTGGAGCTGCAGGAGAGAGCAGCCCAGTACGGTGAGCAACACTGCGACACAAACCACTCAAAGCATACACTCTGTTCATGAGAACCCAGACCTAGAAGATTCGCTGGCACAGGGGGGAGCCATTTCTTCATATGTTTCGGCTGAAAATATCCTTAGCAAGTTTTGTAGGTTACACTATTGATTTATGTAGAGTGGATATCTTTATTTCTCACATTTGCTGCCAGTGTCTCTCTAAATTGTGTGTTCAACCAAATTAAAGGATACATTTTCCAATTGACATTGAATCCATATTGTGCAAGTATAATATGTAAGCTCTTTTGTTGTTGATTGTTTTATTAAACACAGCCGGGTTAATCTCACAAAAAACTGATCATATTTCAAAACAAAATGAATAGGAAAGAAATATTTATAAAATATGTGTGATGTGTACGGTGAGTAACACTGGCTATGTTTACATGCACAACTTTTGTTTCAATTGGACTGAATTCATTCCGATTTATGAACCTGAATGCGGTGTTTGCAGGAACGCTAAACATGTATATACAGTTTCCTGCTGTTTGTGCATAATAACTATTCTTCTACATTAGTTCTTTATTTGTTTTAAACAGCAGACTTAATATTTATCCATTTCTGGTCATAATTTGGAGACGATGAGCATATGAACCGTTGTGCCGCTGCTTATATTTATAATGCTGTAAAAATGCCCAAAACCAGTCGTCTGTAGATGAGAATCTGAAACAAGGACCGGTGGGACGTTGTCCTGCTTCACTTCACAGACGCAGTGTAAAGAGAAGTTTAGAATGACGGGACACTCATTTATAAGACACTTTATTCAACAGAAGGACAGCTCGTTCGGCGCATCATTACGTCCTTTCAGTTTCAGTTTTCAATCCGATCAAGTGTTTACACGTTCTCTCGATCGGATTAGTAAAGGAATAAACCACCACTTTCAATCGGATCGAAATTTCGTTCGGATCGATTAAGGTGTTTACATGAAGGCTTTTCAGTCCGATTGAGCCGTCAATCCGATTAAACAGATTATTGGTTGCATGTAAACGACACAAACCACACAAAGCATAGACTCTGTTCATGAGAACCCAGACCTTGAAGATTCGCTGGCACAGGGGGGAGCCATTTCTTCACATGTTTCGGCTGAAAACGTGTTCATGTTTTGTAGGTTTCACTATTGATTTATATAGAGTGGATATCTCTATTCCTCACACAGTGTCTCTCTAAACTGTGTTTTCAACCAAAATACAGGAAACATGTTCCTTTGAACATTGAATCCTTATTGTGCCAGTATAATATGAAAACAGCTCTTTTGTTATTGATTATGTTGAATTAAACACAGCCGGGTGAATCTCACAAAAAACAGATCATATTTCAAAACAAAATTAATTAGATAGAAATATTTATAATATATGCATAGTATTTTAATGTCTATAAAGAAAATAAAACCTATTTTTCTGGAGCAATTTGTGAATTTTTAGTGTACAAAGACTATTATAATGTATGAATACCCCAGAATTTATTTATTTATATATATATATATATTTTTTTTTTTTTTATATATATATTGAAACATTTATGTATGTACTTTATTTATTTAGCTTTATACTCAATAATGCAATCCTGCAAGAGGCTTTATTTTCATTATGAGAAATTAATCAAATACATTTTTTATATAAATGAAAATCATCCTTTTTATTAAAAAAGTAGCATAAATTACATTCACTGTATAAATACTACTATAATGTATGAATCATATTATTTTAATTTATATTGATGTGCTGTATTAATTTATATATTTATTTATTTAGCTTTGTTCAATAATGTTAATGATCCCGTTAGAGGCTTCTTTTTTATTATGCAAAATATAATTTTTTATAATCTTTTTTTTAGATTAAAGCAAATCATCCTAATCAAACTTTTTATGTAAACTCAGCATAAATTAAATTCATTGTACAAGATATTCCATGAATAAATAATGTATGAATACTTTATTAATTAATTTATATGTTTGTTTATTTATTTTTATATTCAACAATGTTAATTATCCTAAAATAGGCTTCAATTTCTTCATGCAAATTCTAATTTTCTTTTTTTTTTGTCTTTTGTCTTTGAGGTGTGCAATATGATCTAGACTTGTTGTTGACATGTTTTGTGAAATTCATCCAGTGTTTAATGGTTTAAAAATGGAAAGCTGTCTAAATGTCTGGCTCCCGTCACTAGTGTAAATCCACTGGTAACGCACTGGTCTTGTTCTGGTATCGTCTGACTGTAGTTGGCGATAATGACCAGATGCACATTCAAATCTTCTCAACTTGGCTGTGGCGTTCTGTCCTCCCATGAGGATTTGTGCAGGATGGAGATTGCGGGCGGTGGTCTTTCATTTATTCGGTTCTCTACACGTCCAATAACAGTAGGCTGACAGCCAACGGGAATCTCGCCAGCTCTCGCCCTGCCCGTTACAGGGATTACACTCGTCTGCTTAATTTGACACACACACATTTTGCTCAACAAAGAGCTCGGCTGGTCTGTGTCTTTGTGCTGGGATGAGAGAGACTGTGAGCTAATGATAGGCTGAGCGTTGATGCTAAATATGCAAAGCGGGTGAATATGATACAGAACACAAAAGATCTTTGACATGAACGGGCTGCTCCTGATAGGGTCTTATTAGCTTGTCTTCCAACCGGGGTAATAACATGCTGACACACATATTTGCCACATACCTGCCATCAAATCACTGTTTTGGGCATAAGAAAAAGGGTTTGCGTGCGTCACTTGTCACGTCGGGGTTGTAGTTTGCGGTTGGGTTGGTATACTTGCGTAATTAGGAATATATTTCCACATATTAAATGGTATTTTTAAACATGAGTCTTTGTCCCAGCTTGTGCAAAAACAAAGAGCTGTTGTCATCATCTCACTTTCAGAAAATAATTCCTAAATGGAGCAGAAAAAGATTCAAATAAAACTTCTATTTGAGAAATATGATTTGTTTTTTGGACATATTAGGCATTGGTAGTACCAAGGTCATTTGAACATTTGCAGACTTGCAATGTATTTTTGGACATGCATCCTGGAATTTAATTTAAATAAAAAAAATGTAATATCAAAGTACCATTTTATTACCATCACTCTACCACAGTACTTTTTTGTAAGGTTATTGTAATTGCTATTGCGTCTTGTATTGTTATTGTCAGGGGTGCACATAACTGGTACGCAGGTACGCATGCTCGACATAAATGGGTAACTGTCGCCAAAATGCAACCTAGGGTCTTTTTGTTAATCTACCCGAGGCAAACTTTCATTTAAAAGCATAATTAGAATGGAAACGCCACTTTTAAGTTTGACCGTATTTTTGTTTTCGGTCAAATTGCCCTTTGAATGGGAGAGCTAAGGGCACGTATATGATAGCATCAAAAATCGCTATTTTTAAAACACTAAGAAGGCTCGACACAACATGAAACTTTGCTGGAAGTATCACCAGGGGCTCTACACATGAACTCGAGCATTGTTTGTGTACACTGAGTTTTCTAAAAAGAAAGATAGTGAACAACTCCCTGTAGCTGTGTCCGCCGGAACAGTAACACCCACATTTTGTCAGTCAAAAATAGTCGATCTCCGAATGCGAACTGAACTGACTCTGAATTTTAGTATTGTTTCTTACATGAGGATCCTTTTTCCTCAATATTCAATATAGGTCAATATTGTTTTTCACTTACGACAAAACAACAAATTATCCGTGAATTTATATGGAACTAAGCTTTAGGAGCTTTCCATCTTTACTCTCCTCCCTGTTAAGTTGCATTCGGAGATCGACTATTTTTGACTGACAAATTACCGGCTGACACATCTACAGTGAGTTGTTCAAAATCCTCACCATGAAGTCTAATGAACTAAACAATCAAATTACACTTTAAATACATTTTTTCCAAAGATGTTTTCTGTCATTTTAGGTAGTTTTTTTCACGCTGATGTAAATTTAAGTGTTCGTTTTTTAAAATAGGTTCGGTCTTTAGTTAGTTATTTGATGCTATAAAAAAACGGGAATGTGATGTCATGATTGACCGCTGTGATTGACAGCTTCTACACTGAGGAGGACTGCACTTATTAAGACCACGCTACATATGGGGTGAGTACCAAACACCATCTCCTGGTACTCACCTGAGTAACTCACTGAAAAAGTGATGTGCACCCCTGGTTATTGTATTGCGTCTTGCACGTTTTGCGACAGTGTCCAATGAGTGGAGATTGAAGAGTGTTCAGTCTTATCCGAAATTAATGTGAATCTGGCAATTTTTTATTACTTTGGGAGATGTAAACTTAGAATTATGAGGAAAAAGAGTTAAAATGTATGTTTTAATCCCGTGGCGGAAATAAGCTTCCATACGAACACAAGCCTGACTAGTCGAGTAGTTCAGGACAGCAGCCGGTTGGTTTAACTGCTTAAGACTAGTCTGACAAGTTAGTTATCTCATTTTTTTAAAACTTATGTCATGCATAAAAAAACATTGGTCTAATTTGAATCCGAAAAGAACTATAGTTCTTAAGACACAGTCATAACATATTGACTGTGTTTATGCAACTGACCCCAAGTCTGTTCTTTTCAGTCTGTCTGTGTGCTGTGATAATGTCGTCTTCCTCTTTCTGGAAGCTGCGGAGGAAATGAACCTTTAACAAAATAAACAGGAGAAGACCTGCGTGCAGTAAATATATACAGAAACCTGATCGTCCAAGATCTACCTCACAAGACAAATGATTTCAAGAGATGACAGACAAACCTAAACCCAATGCATTGCAGATGAGACGCTTTATGTATGAAAAGGTCATTATGTATAATGATAAAAGCATTGCACTTGCTGGATTTCATGATGTGCATTACGAAATGTGTCCAAATGCAATTCAAAATGCAACACAAAACGATATTAGATCGCTGAGGCCGATTGCAACTTGCATTTGCAAGTTTACATGTTGCAATTCTTAGTTTTGAGAAAAAAGGCAGAATTGCAAGATGTATACTTAGTTATG